CCAGGAAAGAATAAGGGTGAGCAATAAAGAAGAATAGGTAGGATGCAAGAGTTTACGAACTGTAGGATGAGGGGTTGAGTTATACCCGAGTGTCTTAACTTCTTAATGTAAAATGTCAAGCGGAATATTTTACTGGAGATTGCTAAGACATGGGAAGACCAGGAGAGATCAGAAGAGAGAATGAGTCCAAGATACTTAATTTCTGATTTGATTCCTATATCATTGTCGTCAATTTTACAACTGTCATGAGAATCGATGACTTCTTTTAACTGTCGTTTACATCTTAAGCTGAAATCAACAGTTTGACACTTAGAAGGATTCAGTTTAAGACCGTTAGACTCAGACCATTTGCTGACTTCCGATAGAAAGCTATTTATTTTAGTACAATCTAGCTGGGAGTTAACAGCCATTGAAACCGTTAAATCATCAGCGTACTTCACAAAGTTTATTTCATCAGAGTGAGGCAAGTCATGCAAGAAGAAAGAAAAAAGAAAAGGAGAAAGAACGGCACCTTGAGGGACACCAGCTTCATTAGGCAATGAAGTGGAGGACTTCCCTTTATAGTAGTAGTAAACTAGATAAAATGTTAGAATATAATAACATGAAGTGAAATAAAATAGACCAAAAATGGAAATAAAGAAGCATAACAAAGTTGTTATGCGAACTACATAGTAAAATCCAGACCATGGTAACGAAAGAGATCTTACAAGTTGTTTTCGTACACAAAGTTCTGGCTTTTTGCTATGTTTTGTCAAAGTCTCTACTATACAAAGCAAACGCACTCGTTCCCATTGTAATTCGTCTATGAAAATGAAATCGACGAAAAGAGAATTTCCTCCGCTGAATTCTTTGTTTTTCTATATTATAATCTATTTACTAATGACGTCTCGAGTATAAGTGATTGTACATGATCATATCAGGACATTTATATAGCTTTCAAACTTTTTTTTATATAATTCCATTATTGCTCATACTTTTGTTGAATTGTTAGTAATATTTTCCATACCTCTTATATCAGTCGTGTGTCATTTCTACCAGACGTTTCAAGTGTATTCGATGAGCGAAGATTCAGTGAGCAACCTCTTCCTCCGCCTAACTACATTACTTCATATAAAACTGTATTTCTATCCCACTCAATCGTTTGATTGCAAAGTGTATGCATTGTAATTTCTGAGTTTTTCTCTAAATTGGTTATATTTTGGAGATCACTTATTTTTCACTTAGGTGAATTCCTATGTTCCGATATTCTGACTAACCCCGATCTACTGAATTAACCTATGCGGTTTACCTCATAACCATTATAAGGTGTTTTGTAGACTAAGTCACTTTGTCTAATTAGTTCATTGGAGTCATGCAGCCTGCGGGGACTGTGTCTGAGTGAGTTCAAAGGTTTGAATACAGCGCCAATTCCTTCTTTATTAAAAAACCTACGCAGGTCCCCACATACACCTTCCTCATTGTTCGTACCTTGGCAAAAACATGAGCAATAAATTGTAGTCGAAACGTAATCTATCTCTACAGTTTCTCAAACATAGGACGCTAAAGCATATCTTTTCACAGACAACTCTCAAAATTAGTCGATGACCTTATTACACCTCTCTCATACATGGTTTGACTATTCTAACCTATCATTTTCCTGTCAAACGGAAATAAGAGGCCGCCTCACAGTAGGTATAAATTATAGCTATTTCGGAATTTTACCTCCATCGTTTCAGTATAATGATAAAAATCGTTTATCTCTTAATTTGAATTTACAATTTCTTGTTTAGAAAACAGAATTAATACTTGGCTACAATTGTTTGTATGACAAGATAGATCACTTAAACACAACATTTCTTTATAAACACTTCGAATCATTTTCCGAATAACAAAGGTTAATACAGCAGGATTTAATGAATTCATCAAATTTCGGTAGAACTCTTCAGCTAAATACTCTACATATAAGGATATATATAAACATATTTACCATTAGTATTACATTGGGAGATATAAGACCGATAAGTAAATAGAGCTACATTGTATCAGTCATGGAAAATGACCGGGGTGAGGTTTTTTCAGGCCGTGTTTGGATAGATAAGTGAAAGGGAATATGAGCGATTAAATTAAAACCCATTACAGTTCAATCACACCACTTAAATAAACAATTAGTTATCAGAGAAATTGCGAAATGAATAATACTGATGACAATAATAGTAATGGTGATGGCAATAATGTTAATGTTAAGGTAATGATACTCATAATGAAAACTGTCTATTATTCACAAAGGTGTTTTCTGTGCATACTTTCCACTAGTCGGGTACTGTGCAGTTATTTCTTCATAATTAGTTAATTATCATTTGTATGAACCAGTAACTTTTCTTAGGTACGAGTTGGAAACCTTCAAGTTTGTCTTAAGCATATTACGGTTTAATCACTCGGATGAAATCTCTTAGTCTATGTTTTTTAAATCTTATCAGTTTTTGGTATGATTTAATCAAACATGCTCCAGTATAGACAACAATATGATTATGGACAATAAATTGTGTTCTAAATGTCATCCAGTAGATAATACTGTTTCGCCTTGTGATATATCTAATAAGCAAGTTAATATGGAGATGGAAATTTGGTTTTTCTTTAGAGCTTCAAAAGTTTATATAAGTGTCAATACATGGTTTTCTCAATCAACACATTATGTAAGACACCTCATATGAATGGGTTTATAATATTAGGTAATGTCCTAGTCAAAATTATTAGTTCGTTCTTAGACGTGATACGCATTGACAGATTTTTTAGATGGATGAATCACTTTTCTTTAGTGATTAATAAGTACTGCTTTGTTTGAATGAGCCCATGGGAATTTACAGTTATAATGGAAATAATTTTCACCACCAGTTCCATCTAAAATTATGTACGTCATGTGTATGTCTTAAAGTGTTAGTTTGTGTTGATTTGAATGGTTTAGGGTTTGATCACGGATTGATACGAGTGAGTGAAGTGACCATTGGAAACCAGGGAGTACCGGACAGATGTTTCCGTCACAGCTTGAGAGTCGTGGATAGTACGCACCCAGTGGGTTCCGTACCCAGGAGCTTCCGGATGACAAGGGAAGGTCGTAGAGCATTGAGTCACTGGGACACGATTCAATGGCCCATGAATTCTAACATCTACTAACTGCTGATTTTAACTCCACGACTCATTAATATCAACGTTGGTGAGTATTGGTACCCACATCTAATTTGGTGGACCCCGCTGCTCAAAACTTCTCAATAGAACCTCAGGCAACTTGATCCTGTAGTCGGTCACTAATGAGCATCTCTAAATCTGACTGTTTCCCACAAACTAATGTTCTTACAGCAGTTTTTGTATCACAAATGTATTAACAGTGTTTGTGGAGCATTAAAATTGTCTTGTGGGCGAATTTCGGGCACCATAGGAATATCTGGTTAAATGAAGTGATATTGTAAAAGAGCTGTTGAATTTTTTTTATCTATTACATAAAACATTTCAATTTAAAATCCTATCCTATGTGATTGAGTGAAAAAACTAAATCACTATTCGTTTGTACTACCACATAGTATTGATTCACGTTCTTCGTATACTCGTGTTTTCTGAAGAAAACCTTAAGTGTTGACAGTATGAGTATGCTATGTCAAAACTGCTAAGTCATGTATGGATTCTGATTACATATAACCGGTTGTCGGTAAATTAATTTTTTTCACGTGGTTGTTTGTGACTCTGTTTTTCAGTTAGATGTTGAAGTAGTTATTGATAAAACCCCAGGAAAGTGAAATTTCACTTGATTTTGTAAGATTCATGGAATTGCTAATTTTTGATTCATTCATGTTTTTCTGTAAAAAAAGCTGTTACTTAGTGTATTCTATTTGTGAGTAGTTAGGCACGTGGTGAATATTTCCCTGTGTAGAATTGAAGTCCGTCATTTTTTGCATATTTCAAACAATCTGGAATCACTCAACCTCTACTTTTACAATATGTTAACTCGTGTATGTTGCCTATCGTACTTTACTGCTCCTCATTAGTCTTTGCTCGTCCACTGAAAAAGCACTATGTCATTTTGAAAAGGGTATTAAAGGTTGTCAGTAGGGCGAATGGTGTGGAACTTAGTCAGCTTGTCAATACATTAGTTAATTGGCTTTTGAACTCATGCGAGAAATGGTCTTCAATCTATATTGTCTGACCCTCATCACCCTTCTATACTCAACTCTCCCCTTGTAATACATCTGGTAGAACTAGAAGTCAGTACAAAAAATTACATGCTCGTGCTACCAAGTATAAAAAATAAAAGATGCCATATTCGGCCCGTGTTCTATGCAACAGACACAATGTAAAGTGTGAAACTTATGAATTGCTGTGTTGTCAGCTAAATAATTGGCCCTTTTTTATCTCCTATTTGTAATCTGTAGTGAAAATACCTCAATTAATTAACAATCTGTACTACTAACATTATCACTATTTACAATTCTTTATATATATATATATATATATATATATATATATATATATAAATCGCTAAAAATACTAAATAAGAACTGCTATTAACAATCCTGTAATATTATCTTTATAATTAATATTATTCTATGAAATTAGATGCATTATTCGACGAAATGCTGAAAATTCCACACGGGAATGTTAGTACTGTTTTGGAATAAAGCAAATTATTATTTTTAAGTAGTCGATCGTTTTGCAAGATGTTTGCAACAAATCCACGTATTATGTATTTTTTCAGGTAAGAAAGTATCTCGGGTTAAAATGCCGTATAGACATTAGAAATTCTAATTCGTCTTACTTTGAAACTGGGAGGGGAGCAGGAGGTATTAGTTACAATGCGTCATTCGTTTCATAACATTAATAAAGATGTAGACACTAGCAAAGTAAATCTTCATTTCTGTATTTAGTGTAACCTTCTTAGTAATTTTATTATTTGATATGGTAAAATCTGTATAAACGCCTGTTGGCAAATATACAAAACTGAGTTGAACAAAGTGGTTTTCTCTTACTTAAAGAAATTACAGTCTAGATGGGATGCAATGTATTCATTAATTGATGGAAGAGACGATGCACTACACCATGAACTTCATAAACAACAAGAAAATGACAAGATTAATACTCAATTTGCTCAAATAGCTAATCGTTTTGGACCTTACTTGGAACATAATTTGGATTTAATTCATTCGATTGTCACAAATCACAAATTTTCACTAGATGATCAACTTCAACGTTTAAATAAAGTTGAAGAAGATTTACAATCCTGGAAAGCAACAGTCGATGAATTAGAAAAACTTCATCAAGTGAGTTATTGAGAATAGCTGTTAACCATTCCGTTTTTTTTTACGTTCATCACACACATAATATTGATATGCTTTTTGTTGCTTACAACCCATAAAACTGTACATCTACCTTGGACAAATTTATTTCCCAACTAAGCATTTTAGCTGTCTAGTTCCAACTGTTGATCGATATATATCGGGCAAGTGTGTATTCTTGTCAGTCAGCTAAGTAACAACGAGATTTCCGCGCATTCTGATGACCTTTAGTTTTAGTTTTGGTTGTTAGTGCTCTTTTGATCGTATCCCATAGTTTACTAGATATACACTGGTGTCCTAAAGTTATCGGTAGAAGACCGTATTGTCACTGGACACTTTCATATCATAACGTTTTATACTATTTTGAGTTCATGGTATATTCACTAAATTAGATTTTAATTTTGTTGTACTCAAAATATCTGTATTTGTAATTTGGTCCACGGAGCACAGAGAGAGAGTGTGTGTGTGTAGTCGCACCACAGAATAAGACGATATGCTGCTCTTATGCCATAATTGTTGGATACTCCTGATAACCAATATATAAAAATGAAGACCACTAAACCAAATAGCAGAGGTAATAGTACATCTGCTATGGTATCAAAACAAAATTTACCAAGGAAGGTTTAATGTGATGACAAATTGTTTTTGAACGCATAAAGGTGGCTTGAACTTTCTAATTGCTAGGGCTTCTACAAACTTTAGGATACGCCCCAAACACGTTTTATAGATAGGTTTAAAAGATCTGTTAACATCAATTTTATGACCTGTCTCTATAATATGTTTCGCAATAGAAGAGCTAGGTCTCCTGTTCTCACCGTTAATAGGTTCTGATGATTGCATTTGTTTCTGGAGCCATTTTGGAATATGCTCTGAAGCCCTTACTTGCAGAGATCGATGAGTCCTCCCTATGTATGTGTGTCCACACGTACATTCAAATTGGTAAATACAGTGGGATGTGACGTCATTTTTCGCATGTTCGAAGGGCTTAGATAGATATAATGGCTTTACATTTTAGCAGATATTTATATGTCGTACATTGAGAATTTATCGGAAGATTTAATGGAAAATGTGCCACTTTATAGAAAGTATGTAGATGATATCGTAGTCATCAGTGATAAGCCTTGTTCTGCCACCTCAATTTTAAATCGAATGAATGAAGTTCAGAATAGCATATCACTTACATCTGTAGAAGAGGAAGATAATTGTTTATCTTTCCTAGACATATTGCTTAGTCGACGGCTTGATGGGTCAATAAAAAGATCTATTTATAGAAAACCTACCTGGACAGGACAGTATCTTAATTACCACAGTTTCTGCCCTATTCGGTACAAAAGAGGCTTAGTAAGGTGCCTCTTCAGTAGAATTCGACGAATATGCACTGAAGACACACTTGATGAAGAAGAAAGAATAGTGACACAAACTCTGGTTGATAACAATTATCCAGAAAAGTTCATCAGGAGATATAAAGTAGTCAGAACACCAAGACCCACTCTCCCACTCGCCCCTAAGAAAGACGTGTACATCAAACTACCCTATATGGGACATCAAAGCAGCTTGATAACTAGACAAAGGCTGAACGCTGCTGTTAAAAAGACTTTTTATGCAGCTAATATCATAATATTAGAGAATGTAAAGCCATTATATCTATCTAAGCCCTTCGAACATGCGAAAAATGACGTCACATCCCACTGTATTTACCAATTTGAATGTACGTGTGGACACACATACATAGGGAGGACTCATCGATCTCTGCAAGTAAGGGCTTCAGAGCATATTCCAAAATGGCTCCAGAAACAAATGCAATCATCAGAACCTATTAACGGTGAGAACAGGAGACCTAGCTCTTCTATTGCGAAACATATTATAGAGACAGGTCATAAAATTGATGTTAACAGATCTTTTAAACCTATCTATAAAACGTGTTTGGGGCGTATCCTAAAGTTTGTAGAAGCCCTAGCAATTAGAAAGTTCAAACCAATATATAGCTTTTTATGCAAATTAGGTTTAAACTTATGGTCCGAGTCGAATTTGTAGCAAATACGTATGCACCATATGTTTTCCTCTATTCTACTCATAAGTGATTTTTATTTTATTTTAATGAAATAGATATTACGTAAGGTTCTGCAGAACTACTTATTATACCCTCTTCATACCTCACTTCTTAGTTGATCCCTAAGAGGTATGATGAACAGTCTGTTTATTTATAAAGTTACTGATAACTTTGAAATAACTATGTAACGGCAGAAGACACGAGCATATGACAATGCAACTGTATAATGGCAAGTCCATTAAATCCATCTCTCCACTATTCAATATTCGGTGTTTACACATTACCTATAAATACTATAAATAGCACACACCGCACTCGTCCCTCCGTCAAATAATTTCATGAAGAGCCGCTCCAACCTTCTTTATGCTACCCACTCTTGTTGTGTTTTGTTATTGGTGTGCTTACTCTACTGAATCCATCTCTGAGGTTGACTGATCTCCTCCTCTCATGGTATAAACGGGACCATGTCTGTCGGTGACAATGCATGGTCCCTCCCATTTTGAAAGGAGTTTCCGTGAAACTAACCGGCATTCAGGCGTGTACTTTCTTCCTGTACAATTTACTTGATGTAAGACTTCAAAGGTTATGCATTTCGCATTTTCTCTCAGTTCGAATTTCTCGGCGTCCATCTTCACATTCCTAACTGCTTCTTTCCGTTCCCTTCTCACGCTCATCACACTCCACTCTTGATGAAGGGTACAGGTCCTGTTGTGTATTGGTAGTCATGGTTTCCTACCATACATCAACTAAAACGGCGACTTCTTTGATTTTTCCTGGGCTGAAGCACTATGTGCTACTGGAATCGATGGAAGCTCTACCTCTACTATCCTTTAAGGCCAGTCACTCCTTCGGTATATGGTTATCTTTCTCTCCTCAAACCATTCGTTTGTGGATGATATGATGTTATTCTAGTATTCTTGATACGGAATGTAAATTCGTCACTTTCAAGACAAGGACGCTGATCTGTCAGTATCGTCTTCAGTGCACCGTGGTTTGCAATGATGTGTAGAAGCATTGTATCAGTCACAGCTTTAGCGCATGGGTCCGGGGTAACAGCAGTGTCTACCCATCGTCATCGCAACGAGGTAATGATTGCCACTGGATTTCTGAAGAAAAGGTCCCATTACATCTACGGACCATAAGTCACCTACCGCCATAACTGGGGTCGACTTCAGAGGCGATCTAATTTGATCAGCTGACACTGTGGACATCCCATTACATATTTAGCCACATCTCTCATATCTGGTCAGTAAGTGCTTCGTCTCAAGAGGTTCGTTGTTCTGACTACCCCTGTATGTGCTAGCTGGTGGTATTTTTGTATCGTTTCATTGAGTAGGGACTGAGGTATTACCGCCAACTAGCCTCCATCATTCTCTCATCAACCCGAAATTCAACTTGATATGATTATGAGCAATAGTTTGTGCTCGAGACATCATCAGTTCATATAACTGTAAACACTGTGCGATTTATCAAAATAAAATCTTATCTATAATGGAATTATACTCTACCACAGTGCCCAAGTTTTATACTTATACGAAATTCCGTATACATTTAGTCGTAATCTGTCCTTCTGTTTGAGTGGCATGGTCACTTCTCTATTTGCGATAGATCTATTTATTTCCATTCCTTTCTTTGAACTCCAGGTAGTAAGTGGCTAGTGTCATTCATTTAGTCCTATGATCGGTGGAGACTGAATTCTGTCAGTCAATTTTGCAATATGGGAGGCATACTAGGTGGCTCACCATCACGGTGCGCTCTGAAATGTTTTTATTAGATGGTTTCAGGTAATCGGCAGGACACCTTGGACTCAGGTTTCGTGCTTGTTGGCACTCGTCAACAAGGCCTATCTGCAACTCTAAAGATTCGAGACCGTGTCACCCAGCGTTGCAGTCAGATAAGTTACCACTTATCATGCGTGTCACTATATTCAGGGCAAGTCTTCCTAGATCTCATCACAGTGCATGTGCTTCGTAAGCAATTCCTGGTAACTCAGCTTCATCTTCCGGTTCAGATAAAAATTCTGCTAGCAAATTTTCTTCCTCTGGAATGTGAGAGATCGCGAAGTCGTACTGCTGCAGGCTCAACATCCAGCACGACAATTTCCCACGTTGGTCTCTTTTTGTCTGTTGCCACTGTAGTGGCTTAGGATCAGTTCCGATGTGGAACGGTTGACCGAGAAGATAAGGTCTCCATTTGCCTAACGCACACACTGTTGTTAAACATTATTTCTCGGCCGCTGAATATTCTGTGTATTTTAGGACATGGCTGGTATGCTAGACTACTCCTTCATTCTGTCTTAGTACTGCTTCTATTCCGTAGTCATTCACATCAGGGAATACCGCGAACTGTTCCCGAAATACACGTAGTTTTGACGTCATTTGCTGGTGATCTAAAATTTGTTTAACGCACTTGAATATCCTCTGCAAATCTTCTGACTCACCTAGTAGTATGTACAGCAGATCTGCTATCTCGTCGAAGCTTTGCACGAACTAACGATAAAACGCTGCTCTTCCTACGAACTATCGTAGTTTCTTCGAATTCGGGGCATAATTCCGAATTCCGGCGAAATTTCGCCGAAAAGAGACTCTTCGCTGATCTACGTGTTTTGTTTTCATTAATGCCTGGATGGGGATTATCCATGAATTGAAACGTAGCAAGGACCCCTCGACAGTCAAGGAACTCAATGGGTTTCTGCGGTACTCTGTCAAGCTTGCTGTGGGGAAAGCGAAAGTTGGCTTTTTCGAGGATTGCGTCTCCAATCATCAGTATCCAAAGTGGTTCTGGAAAGCACTGCGACGCAATCATATATATCCAAATACGAAGTCCCTTCAACGCCATGCAATGAATTGTGCTGATTCTATCAGATCACGTATGCCCGAACTGCAGCGGAATATCAATCAGAGGTCCTCTGCCTTATACGAATTGACTTCGGATGAACGTCAAAGATTCACCGAATATATCGACTTGGTTGCGAATAAACGGTCGCAGTCTGTCGTAACCCAGCTCAACAACAGCCTTAAGCAGATGAAACCTCAAGGCAAATTTCCTGACGAACCCACGAAGTTTGTGTTCAATTATTCCTCAGTACATTTAACCGACGTGCAACTGGAAGTCCTATCTCTGGGCCCTAAATTCTGCGATATAAATTTCAACTCCGACAAACTCCATACTCAGGTCCAGTTTGAAAATCTAATCAGCCAAACGCACGATCTCAGCCCAACTTCTGAAGACGAATTACAGAGATTCAAGTCAACAATCATGGACTGCTGCCACCAATACTTGAATTCAAAATCAAAAGTCCGCAACCACCTAACGAAGCGGCACCGAGAGGAATTAAAACAGTTGAGAGATAACAAAGATCTACTTATAACTCGACCCGACAAGGGTGCGGGTGTAGTGCTTCTGAATCGAAGAGACTACATCGAGAAAATGAACGATATACTGTCGAATGAAGACAAATTTTCCCAACCTTCCAATGAAAGAAACAAGACGGAACAGATTGAGAAGCAGCTCACAGATGTCTTGAAGAGAATGAAGGCCAGTCAACTAATCAGTGGGGATATCTACGATCAGATCCGGCCAACAGGTTCAATAATACCAAGACTTTATGGTCTACCAAAGGTACACAAGGTTGGTCTCCCACTTCGTCCAATTCTGGATATGTCAGGTTCCCCTTACCACTCTATTGCACAATGGCTAGCAGATATTCTGGAACCTGTAAGGAAGCAATTATGTACGTACTCGCTCCGTGACACCTTCCAGTTCATCGAGTGCATACAAGACACGAATGTATCTAACAAAATTATGCTGTCCTTCGACATCGAGTCACTTTTCACCAATGTCCCACTCACAGAAACGGTCTGCTTCATATGCAGATATATAGATGACAACCACCTCGATATTGGAATACCGACAACATACTTGAAAGAACTATTATTGAGATGCACTCTGAACGTCCAGTTCACATTCAACGACACCATCTACAGACAAAAGGATGGTATTGCAATGGGATCTCCGTTGGGTCCACTACTATCAGATTGCTTCGTGGCAAGCCTCGAGAGAGGTTCACTAAAGCCAAGCATCGACAATTTGCGACTGTATAAAAGATACGTGGATGACATTTTCATTATTTGTGACAACAACAACGACCCCAATCTGCTGCTGAAGACATTTAACAATTGCCATCCAGCAATAAAATTCACTCTTGAAATGGAAAACGAGTCAAAAATTCCGTTTCTTGATGTGGAACTGACAAGAAGAGCTGATGGGAGCCTAAGAAGATCAATCCATAGAAAACCTACGTGGAATGGTCAACTAACAAGCTTCTATAGCTGGGTGCCCATTCAACAAAAGCGAAACTTAATTAAATCACTTGCTACCCGCATCCGACGCATCTGTAGTCCCGACGTTCTGGAAACAGAATTAGATATTCTGAGAGAAATATTCATCCAAAATGGATACCCAATAAGATTTATCGACAAAAATATGAAACCAATAATTCGGAAAAACGAAACTTTAACTGTGCCTAAAAAGAAAATCTACATGAATTTGGATTTCAAGGGAGATTTAGCAAGCGATATTCTCAAGAGAAGGATCACATCATCTCTGAGAAGAACGTTCTTTGCAGCAACGCTACGAATAGTGTTCTCCAGTCGCCCACTGATCTGCAGAAGCCTCAAGGACAAGATCCCGCATCTGGCCACTTCTATGTGCATATACCAGTTCACCTGCTGCTGTGGAGCCAGGTACATCGGTCGTTCGACGCGCATCCTGTCCAAGAGAATTCAAGAACATTATCCAGCATGGTTGCGAAAAGGCAATACTGGTGCAATAAGGAGTGCGATAATTGAACACCTGGTCAACACTGATCATTGCATTTCAACGAACGCCTCCTTCAAAGTAATCTACAGAGTCAAGAATAACATATCAAAGGCAATACGGTTTCGTCTCCTTTGCATCGCTGAAGCTCTGGCCATTCACATGGAAAAACCGGAGCTGTGCATACAAAAGAAGATTACTCAACCACTTCTACTCTCATGGTAACAATGTTTTGAGTTTTTATTTTGATGACTTAATTTTGTTTCTTTGCCTGTTCCTTAATTGCTTATAATTCTTGTATTCACTTAAATCTCTTACATAGTTTCGTATTATCTACTTTGTTTCTATGTGCATCCTGAGTAAAACTCACTCATCAAACTATTCATATTATTATTGCATAACTTCTTTTAACAACTGTTTGTGACAACTCATCACCTTTGTTACTACCCTAGCACTTAATGGTCTTGACTTTTATTACCAACCTTTACCTGTTTAGTTAAAATAACCTTAAGCAATTATAATTCTTGTATCCACTTAGATCTCTTACATAGTTTCGTATTATCTACTTTGTTTCTATGTGCATCCTGAGTAAAACTCACTATTATTATTACAACTGTTTGTGACAACTCATCATTTTTTTACTACCCTAGTTTCATTAGCACTTAATTTTCTTGACCTGTATTACCAACCTTCACTTGTTTAGTTAAAAGTAACCTTAACCAATTGTAACTTTGTTTGACAAACTTAATGTACACATACATACAAAACAATGCATATATATTTGCGATTGTACAGCTAAGAAAATGAATTCGCCGAAAAGAGACTCTTCGCTGATCTACGTGTTTTGTTTTCATTAACTGTGTATGACGAGATCATCACCGTACACCTTCATGTTCTTCAAGTTTTTAAGTGACAAAGTCATCAGTTGTCTGAATGTTAAGGGTGTATATACTGTTCTAAAGTGCTTGTTTAAATTGATATTTTTCCTACCCCACAATGAACGCTGTCTCATCTCTGTCGCCTGGTTTTTCCGGTATCCTAACTGGTTGTCCAGATCTGTAAATAGATTTGCGCTTTGTAAACTATTTATTGTTTTTGCTACTGTTCACATGGCACATGGTCTCAGTTCCGTTTTGCAGTTTAGCTTTTAGAAATCAACACAAAACCTGTACTTCCCATTGGCTTTTTTCACTAAAAGGACTGAAGAGCTATACGTATTGTCAGCTTCTTCAATGATATCATCCTTTAACGCCTCACTCACTCAGTGCTTAACTTCTTCTAAGTGACTTGGAACTCTTCATGTTGCGGATGTTGTCATTTTTCTACCCCTCATTGGGATTTTATTCCTAACCTTACCACCATAACTGGAAGGGTCTCCGTCTCTAGTGAACAGACGCTTGTATTCTTTAACTGACATTGTTATCTTCGGTATTCTCCACACCTCCTTCTCTGCTACTTTACTGTTATCGAGGATGCTGATACATCCATTCGCAGTAATCACAACCCTTTCCTTCGTGATAATTACTGCACTAACCTCCTGCAGAAAATCAACCTCAGGTATTGTTCGCTGTAATTGAGGCACAGAAATGAATGGAAAAGGTACTTTGCATGCCCAAAGTGAATAATTCAGTCTAACATACCGGTGACTTTTTGAAACGTGCCTACCTACCGTTTGAATTGTCAGTGAGTACGGTTTGACGCTCATACATAGATACTTATCTATTAGCTAGACTGTCTCCCCTATCTCTACTATACATACAACTTCTTGACCATTCGTTTATACATGGCCTCCCTCTCGATTGCTCCCATTAATTCCAGTCTTATCGCAGAGAAAGAACACGCATTATACTGTCTAAAAGATTTTCTTTCCAGGCAGTATTTCTTCCAATGTCCTGTCTTGCCACATTCAAAGCACTGGTACTTTCTGGCACTCGAATTTTAAGCCGTTGAGACTCTATTGCATTGTCACCACTAAAGGATGAGTAGCAGCTAAAAGTTTCTCTGAGAAATATTCCCAGTATTTACCCCAAAACAGGAGTTATCACACTAACTTTATCATTTCTGTTTGAAAATGACTATTCGTGCAGATGTACTTGAATATTATTCTGAACAATGAATTGTTTACTCTCTTTTAAGTTCGATAACGAACTGATATCATTTGGAGCCATTGAAAACTAGGGAGTAATGGGCAGCTGTTTCGTCCTAGTCTGTAACTCCTCAGTAGTACTCGCCCATCAGAGTTTGAACCCAGGACATTTAAGTTAAAGACAGGCCCGTACACCATTCAGCCTCTGGGACGTGTGTTTGATTGTTTGCCAAAAGGAAAGTTACTCAGTTTATTAGACTGTAGTCATATCAATTTTTACTATGGTGCTGCTTCTTATTATTAAAAGTGATTAATATAGTGTTTTGAAGTAATTTTTCACTTTGCTCACTCATTTTTTCTCTTCAATTCATAGAAGCAACAGAAATTCCTCATCACCCATAATCCTTATACACGATATACAATGGAAACTCTTCGTGTTGGATGGGAACAGTTAAAAACCAATGTAAAACGTAGTCAAAATGAAATTGAAAATATTATAGCCGCTAACGATTATCGTGGTGTCACAGAACAACAAATTGAAGAATGTCGTAGATGCTTTAATCACTTTGACCGACAAAGGACACGTAGACTAGATCCCTTAGATTTTAGGGCTTGTCTTGTCTCACTTGGATTTACAATACCTAACACATCTCAAGTAGGTTTATTTTGTATTTTTCTGCAAACATGCTTTATTCTTCACTACCACTACCGAAATTTATCGTGATGCAATCTAATTCAAAACAGAAAGAACATATTTTTGCATTTCTTCAAGGCTATATGAGTAGTATTTGATGTGTTTCTAAGCTTTTAAGTCGATTACATAATGGCTTCATTGAAACATATCTTGTTAAATATCACGTGACATTACGGCGAAATCTATTCAGAAGCCTTAAACACAATGACTACGTGTTGTTAACGTGATTCTTTCACATCAGTAGACAAGTGCTATAGTTGAATCGCATTCATTTTACTCTTTTTTGGAGCGAATAGTTTAACAACAACGCTTTCATTATCATGCTTGACCTTACAATCCAAACGTTTTACGTTTGAAGCCAAAAGGATCGAAAGTGTTTCACGTTAATCTAAAGTAATGATGGTGTTTACTACTATAAATACACAATACCTCGAGAGCACTTGATGTATATCAAATATGTGAAACTACAATACACTTGATTTTCATCAAAGTATGTGCATCTTATAAACTTATTCCCGCTGCAATTTCCTCATCACTACTTGATTTCATCTCTGTTTTGGTACAGAAATGCTAGGTGGCTATTATGCCTTCATCTGCCAACGGTATTATATCCTGTAGGGGATTCAAAATATTGCCACTGATAATTCCAAAAGGTAGTCTCTTCATTGAATCGATGTGAATCCAAGCATCAAGAAATACAACTGCAGTTGACTATGTTAAATACTCATTACCTTTTGTTACCACCTGTTCTAACAATTCGTGTCTCATTACTAGAGATTAGACTAGTGTGCAATGTATTCATCTTATTATTAGCATTCGAACATGTTATCGAAGTCATTCTGACTGCAGATTTGAACCTCGTCATCTTGCTTTCACCAGCAAGTGCATCATTACCAATAAATGAAATATTGGACGTTTGTAATCATTCCTGTCAAGAATGGATGTGATGTGGAACAGTGTTCTGATTACTCACCCTATCATGTGTCTGTCTGTTCTGCAGTCCTAATATCAAAGTGTACAACTGCTTTTCGCCTACGATATACATATATTTCAAGAAACTGGAAAATGGAGAACATATCCATGCCTTCTTCAAAATCGGAAACTGTCTACTAGTTTTCATCTGTTTTGTGCACATGTAGGCGAATATTTTCTCAATTTGTGGTTTTCTTAGCTTATTTCTAAAGTATATATCTTACTCCCCACTGTGAAATTTTTTGATTAGTTGTTTATCCAAAAACAAACAGAATGAATTTCTGCATAACTTAAGTGCGTTAACATAACTTGTATTTTACAGGGTGAAGCCGACTTTATGCGTATCATGAAAACTGTTGATCCACACTGTACCGGCTATGTGACCTTTGATTCATTTATGAAATTTATGTCACAACAAACAATGGAAGCTGATACAGCTGAACAAATGGTTGACTCATTTAGAACTTTAGCGGGAGACACGGTAAGTTCACTTGCAGAATTTGCCTTTTCAAAGCTTACAAATTACAATATCGTAAGCAGTTAGGGTTTCGCCTCATAATAAGTATGTTAACTAAATCTCTCGCCCTTCTGCAGAACCACATACAGATTTAGATCTTAATAACAGATTATCTCCGAATATAAATGAACTGAAACCAATCTTAGTATTAATTACCTCATGAATGAATACTGTTCCATTGGACAATAATGAAGAGCTTTAAAAGGGAACTTCTTCCGATACTAGTGAGGTAGTGGTCGATATGGTTCATTATCATGCCGAGTATGAAGACAGTTAACATCGGAAAGCAGTGACGCTGCACCGCGAACTGACAGTTTAAAACCATATGTATTTGGATGTGGTAATGTGTTCATCTCTGGAACTTACAACCTGACTCAGTCGCACCCGGGCTTGTGAGTAAACACTTATGAAAATCATAGCTAGTCAGTGCTACGTAACCTTCTCTAGTGAGTATCGCTAGCTGATAATTTTAGAAATTCTCTCACTCAGACTAAAGCAGAAATTTAAAAGAGCCCACACAATACTTCCGTGTAGTGTTTTCTTGCGCGAAAAATTAAATATACTTAAATGTATGAAATGAAACGTTACTCATTAGTTCATGTGTGTCACTGCTTTAATGAACTAACTACAATTATGGTTTGGGACGCTCAAAAATCAATACGAACGATGAAGTTTAAAACCGTAACGCCCAATCCATTATTGGGTCACACTTAATTTTGATGGATACAGTACGCATTTTGTGTTTGATGATAACTTAAATGAAGTCAAACAAGCTTGTATTGTGCTATTATTTATTACATGTTGTTTAATATACTAATATCCCAGAAAGTACCAGTCATCTCATGAAAACTCAGTTGTCTAAATTTATACTGGACAATTAAGTGCTAAACTGCAAAGTTATATCCACAGATTAATGTGCAGTACGCATTAGTTCTGATATGTTTGATTTTCTGATTTCTCCTAATTTAATATTTGTTTATTAATAGACTTCAATAAAATTCTTTTTTTTTAAATAGCCATATATAACAACTGAACAACTGAGACGTGAACTTGAACCTGAATTAGCTGATTATTGCATTAATCGAATGAAAGCGTACAATGGACCAGATGTTACAAATGGTGGAGCTTTAGATTACACTACTTTCGCAACAAGTTTATATGGTGAATCAGAATTGTAATAATAGATAGGTTTAGCTGGTTCATACAGCTCAATAGCATTTCTTGAAAACATCTTTATGAACTGGTAGTCAGTGTTTGCATCATACTAGCATCATAGCTAGCTTTAGTAATATATACATACACATACATAATGTCATAAAGTATAGTCTAATTAAACGACCTCTGTATTCTGATTCTGAACTGTAAAACGGCATAACACAGGATTTTGATGTATTTTCACTTTTGCCGAGATACATCGAATGTCTGGGAATAAATATCTATATTGTGATATCTGACGTATTCTGATGGTCTCTTTTAATGTATGTGGGCGAAAATTGTAAGGTATATATTTCAAAAATATTTTGGAAGTCCCTGGAAGAATAGATTTACTGAAAATAAACTACTGACTTTTTCTCCTCCTGAATAAAATCACTATGACTTCATCCACAGCATTATTAAGCAAAAACTAGTTAATACCCATTAACTAGTTCATTGATGCTGAATTATAAATGGGAATTTTAGTGCTATTCTGAAAGGACAGGCATACTTTTGTCATGTATTACCAAACGAATTATAATTGCCAAGTATTGGTTTTGTGGGAATTTTGTTTGTTTGATTGGTTGGAGGATTTCATCATGAGCTGACAACAGTTAAAGAACCACTGGAAAACCTGGGAGTACTGGGAAGCAGTACGCGCCTGCCAGAGTCCGAACCCAGAACCTTCCGGTTACAAGGCGAGCTCGCAGACCATTAAGCCACTGAGTCCCCAGATCCAATGGCCCATGAATTCTAACTTCTGCCAATTCTCCCAGGTTTCCCAATGGCTCTTTAATTGATGTCAGCTCATGATGTAATCATCCGACGAATTATAATTTAGCATTGACGTAGACATCAGAAGGCATTCAGGGTAATATGTCTTTATTTTACATCGCCGACTGATATATTCTGTATATCTAGCCTTGTATATAATTCAGTAAACAAAAGTACTGTTTGCTCCTAACTGATGCATAACATATATCATTGAGAAATCTGTACTTTCATATTCAAGGAATCAGTAATGATGTCTATCTGAAGTCACTTTCGGAGCATGAATTTTCCCACTGACGAACGAAACTAGACAAAGTAACATGAAACACCTAAAATTGACTTAGTCCAAGTCACAAAATGGGAAAACAAATGAAACTTAAAAAAACTAGAATGAAGTAAATATCAATGAGAATTAGTGGTGGAGAAATTCTATTTCAAGTAATACTTATTGGTTTTCAATTACTGACATCTGCCGTCTAAAAAGCCCCAACCACAAAGTCAATAATCCTATACACAACTTGAATTAGTAGCCAAGAGTAAAAGCTTTCGCTAACGATACGTTTGACCAACCAAAGGTATCGCCCGTGTACTGTGCACAGGAGTACTACATGTTAAAGCAGGCATATTTAATACGTAAAAATACATTTCACTATTTCAAAATACTTTGATTTGATTTGACACCATGTACAATATGAAAGCACTTCCTCTCGAATATAAAAAGATAGCGGCAAAAAATAAAATCGAAAAGTTACTTTGTTTCTAACAATGGGAATGTCCATAGATTTAAACGATTTTCACGCGGTATTAATGTTAGTTTTCCCTTCAAAGGTAACTGAGTTTTTTCAACAACTGCAGCGCTATCACTTTCACCTGATGTTGTTACACCAGTAACTGGTGGTGTCATTACAGTGGCTTCAGAATCATTTAATACTTTCTCGTCACAGCTGGTACTACTATCACTATCGGTCGAAGTCTCTGGGTTGTTTACATTGGAAAAGTAATTTTCACTTGTGGATACTTCCGTTGTACTTCTTACTTCAGATTTCTTGAAAGTCGGTTGTTTAACTCTTCGTTGACCAGAAGAAGTAGCTATAATAGGTAGGCTAGGATGCACACTTACACTATTTGCACTATCCGAATGAGCTCTCCAGTTAGATATGGAATATGTCGGACTATTTTCAGAAAATTGTCCAATGCATTGAGGTAAATCATATACACAGACGACACCAGTTTGACTTCCAGTGAACAAATAACGACCAGTGCTAAAAATAAAATTATACATCGACTGTTTAAAAAATATTTGAAACAAACTAGTAAAATCATATATTATTTGACAATAAACTCCAAGTTCATTCTTCCTATGACGCTACAATGATGTGGACAATTTTCAGTTGAAAAAATTTCTCAAGAGTGTATCTTGCTCCATTTGACAGATATAAGAACTTCCTTTATGTACTAGAAGAAACATTTTCCGATTGAGGGATTTAAATGCTAGTACCAGCATTCTAAAATACACTACTTATTCGAAAATGGAGATAATAAACATTGATAAAAAGAAATTTTCGACGAACCATTTTCAATCGTACATATATTCAACAAAGAATCCATAAAACCGGTCAATTACCGGTAATTATGTCCTATGATATGGTTTATGTAGCGTGCAGAATTATCTAGAAGCTTATGCACACTTGTTGATTAACAAACTGTAATTGGTATTACGCAATAGATATGAGAATGACCTAATCGATCTTAATGTGGAAAAAATATGAGTAGTCTATACAAATAATAGTTATTATTAGAAAGGAAAATCAAAATGAAAAATTATGATAACAATATTGGGCTAGACACGGTGACGCAAGCGGATGTATGCTTTGATGTTTAGACACATCAGATTTAGTGTTCCTAATTGTGGATGATGTGGCTGTGTACAGAGAGAATATTCAAAGCATTCTACTGCAATATTGGGGAACTCTGTATATCACTGTGAAGCAGTCATACAGAGGTGTCCCATATATATATATATATATATATATATATATATATATCGTTGAGTGTAGAGCTGTTGATGAGGAACTAATTGAGAAGGAATGTGTTTCTCCGCTCAATTTTTCACAAATTTTACGGGACCTTGAGAATTATAAATCTGATTACACAAATGACATGAATAACTAAACGTTGTGCACCACTTTTAATTAAAAATTCGAATACGCATTGTGTAAACAAGTGTTGGCTTTGTATATCGGTGGTCTGGTGGTAGACTTCTCACCAACCACACACGTAGGACTGCGTTTGATTCTCCTCTGGTGCACTTCTAAACCTCGCTTAGTCGCTAGTAAGCCCGGAAAAGATGAAAGGGTAAGTGTGAGGCTAGCAAACTCACCCCGTAAAAATGAATATCAGAGCTACTGAAACTTGGAACTCAAGCTTGAAGTAAAATGTATGGGATAAAAACAAAAGTGAGCTAATACTAAAATTTACTACTGCAGAATACAAGGGATTATCCTAAACACGATTTTTTCAATCGATCTAAAATCATATCCAGCTCTTCACTTTACGATGTAGATCCATATACGGTAAAAGATATTGACAGCCCCACAATCGAACCAAACAGTTAAGAGAACGCAACACAACTAGAAATAGTATTAGCCTGGTTGGTTTGGGACGTTTAAGGAAGTTGTGACATTTATACAAAAGTCTACATTGAGATATAATACTTTGCTTGCTATTGGGAATATATGACCTTTTAAAATCAATACATAACTATTAGCAGTACATTTTCTCACAAGACAACTAAACTCCATAATCATTCTTTGCATCCACATACTTGTATACTTCATCATTAGAAAAAGGAAGAGAGCTTTGGCAGTGGTACATGAAGTTGTGTGATGTAATCATAAATTGTGTTTGCTTACATTGAGGATTTGGCTTTTAGTCTGGAATTAAAATCAGAACCTGCGATCGATTAAAAAATCCTATCGCACTTATCTTTATGTTAAGGAAATATTTTATTATTTATTATATTATTTCAGCGCAGAGAAAACTTGGTACAATATGGCACCAAGAAAGATGCGCCACACAATAATAATAAAACCACATAGCTTAAAAGTAAAAAATATAAGTAAAGAACGGATAAAGAACTTCATCTGGAAGCAAAACAGTCATACTTAACAAGTTCAAACAGCATTCGTCAACTATCATCGGAAAGCGAAGAAGTTGCAACACGTTCGCCATTGATTACGATTCTTGGCCATACCCGATAACGTTTCGAGCTATCTCGCGGACCCCAACCAGGGAGTCGTGACGCACCAACCGATGCCAATCTAGCAAAAACATCCTTCATCCTACGACGCCATGTCATGGACTGACCACCCGTCCGCCTTTTCCATCCCGTCCCAGGGCTAGCGAACAGAGAACTGTACGAAAGCCTCTGGGATGACATTCGTAGCACATGTCCAAGCCATCGGAGCCGGTGTTTCCAGATGACGACACTCAATGAATGGTGATCTCCACTATGTTCAAACACACGACACCGAACCCCAGAATTACTCACGTGGTGATACCATCGAACGCAAGCAATCCTGCGGAGACAGCGATGATCAACCACGCAGAGTCCCCGCACATCCTCAGCTCGGAGAGGCCAGATTTCACAGGCATAGAGCAAGACAGCCCGCACCGAAGCATTGTATACCCGACCTTTGACAGCCAGGCTAACGTCGCTCAAGTTGATGTATGCCAACCTAGCCTTCATTATACGGTTGGAAATCTCATCCGTCACCCCTCCGCCAGCACTCACACAACTACCCAGAAACACAAACTTATCAACAACTTCAGGCGGTTCACCCGCAAGAGTGAGTGCAGGTACAGACTCCTTACAGGCACTGATCGCCAATTGATTAAGTGCGATTTGGGCAGCCTGCATGCTATCGCACAGTAAGACGATATCGTCGGCATACTCAAGGTCGAAAAGCCCATCTCCAGATAACAGATCTCCACCACCTTCACGCACAACCTTTAGAGCTGACTCCAGAATGTCATCGATGCTAAATTTAAAGTGAAATAGAGAGATTGGGCAACCCTGTCTATCCCCACTGTTGGTTGGGAACAGTGATGATAGCTGGTTGTATGCCTTCACTCTATCTGAGGTATCTCTGTATACAGCTTTCAGGATGCCAACAAAATTCTCAGGGACACCTCTCTCTCTAATAAACAGTTCCAGAGCACAGTTCTGTCCAACAAATCGAAGGCAGCCCTAATATCAAGAAACACAACGATCGTTGGCCTGCAATACGTGTGGCGGTGTTCCAACAACCGACAAAGGGTGAACACATGATCAATGCATCCACGACCTGAACGAAACCCAGCCTGCTCTTTGCGAATTAATCCCTCACGTATTTTGTATGGCCTGAGAAGCAAGACAGCAGCCAATATTTTAGACGCAACTGGTAGCAGACTGATACTCCTATGATTGTCACATGAATTACGTCGACCATTTTTAAAGATGGGGACGATAATGGATTCGTTCTACATTGATGGTACACTCTCAGTCTCCCGTGCCTTTCTGAATAATCCAGTTAGAGCCATTGCCAGAGTCTCGCAAAGAGCCAGGGGTAGATCGTCTTGGAGTTACTTACGGACCTCCGCTTCGGTTGGTGGGTAGGTACGAACCGACTTAGGAGCACTGGGGCTAATGACAGCAGATAATGAAGCTGCTGGCCGGCCAAATTGTTTCTCGAAGTGATGTGCCAAGCGTTCCGGGCGGCTTTTCAAGCTAGTAATTGGCACGGCATCTCCTTCACAGACTGTCTCGCTGATACCTTGTTTCCTGCTGCCTGTTGCTAGATGCAGCAGTTGACTCCATCTCACACGCACATTCTGACCACCAGGCTTCACGGTCCTAACGTAAACACTGTCTTATCTTGCGCGTAAGCGCCTTTCGCTTATTGTTCTATTCGCTCCCAGTCAACGGAGCATTCTTTCAAGCCGCAAGAGGCTACGCTCGCCCTTTGCATGGCACCTTGCAGATGAAGCTAATGTTCATCTGTACTACTTGGGGGGTTGCTGGCAACCATTGACTGTAACTCATTCTGGTATTTCAAAGAAGTAGCAGGTGCTACTAGTTTGCTCACATCAACGTTTAGACGACGCCTTTTATGAACCCCACCAATTTGCAAGACGAAATTGGCACACACTAACGCATGATCGGAGTCCAGGCATGTGCTCCAGGAGGAGCGACTGTCTTGTATACACCCTCGACACCGGAAACTGACAGCAATATGATCAATCTGAGTCGCAGAGGGAGGACGCCAGGTAGCTCACTACTACCTCTTACTTTCGCATAATCTTCCAGCCTCACAGCACATTAAACGACTTTTAATGGGAATCCAGTCGAACAATGCAGCTTCGGCTATAGCGCTCAGTGCGACACCGACACCAGCTATGCCGGATGCCGATGCCACAGGGTCGCCGGACAAGCGCAGGTGGCATATACTACTAGAACTTTCGGATGGAGAGGGTATTCGAAGCCCTTCACTGGGATCTTGAATGCGGGTCTCCGAAATACAGCAGACATCAATAGCGAGGTTTTCCAATGTTCTTACCAACCCTGCCTGTTGTCCGTTTTGCATCAGCGTCCAAACATTGTAGGTGTGTAGCTTGAACGCGGCACACGGTTTCAGGATATCTGTGTTAGATGTCACATTGGGGACAACCATTTTGAAGGCTACTCACTAGCATCTCGAAACGGCACAGACAGGCTGAGAATCTAGACAAAGGCGAAAGGCTGTCGAAGGTAAAGAAGTCAAGGTTAGCAAAGGTAAAATACAGGAGTCTAGGTATAAAAATAAAAGTAAGGTTGGAAAGACATAAGTTACTTGAGACATCATTATTGCTTAACAGCATTGTTAAGAGCGCGCGATAAGTTTCACTGATAGTTTGTTGCTTCATTTCATTTATTGTGTGAGGAATGAGATACTGCCCGGGCGCCCAGACAGAAGCAGGTGGTTTTCTTAAGGGACCACCCCTCGAGCCTTTGACTTGGAGTCTAGTCCGCAAGGCACAGGAGCTGCATTCCCGTGGTTGCCGGTGACCAATGTGGGTCCATACGCCATTTGATCCGATTGGATTCTGGAGCCCATGGTAACTGCTTTTAGTCTAACCGCTATCCAAACAACCTTCCTGACATGGCAGGACCTGCAGGAACATGAGACACATCCAGTTTAGCTTGTTGAGTCACTGCAGTATTCAAGCCCGACCACCACGGCAAGGTAGCAGTTGTCGGCTGGGAGGGAAATATTTTAGTGACTGGTAAGCAATAATTCTTTCTACTATAATCGAACATCTACATAAATATAGTTGAACAAGCAAGTTCGTTTAATAACACGTAGCGAGAAAAAAGTAGTTTATCCAATAAAACGACAAGAAGGAGAAAAAATCTCTAGTAGACTCACGGCTCTAAATCAAACTGGAATTTTTGATGATTCTCAATACGTCGGTAAACTATCGTAATAGGATCTACTAGATTTCTTGCATCCCAGACAACCAAACGTGAATCCATTCGTCCGCCGGCTAAAACATACCATGGAGCAGCGTTTTCTCGACCAAAAGTCTTTGCCAGCGTCACCTGAGTAACTCCAGTTGGATGACTGAATAACTGTGCAATCAAATTCCCAGGTTCCGAAAATATGCACACAGTGCCATTATAGGAACCTGTAGCGTAAATATTTCGATTGGGGTCATTCAAAACACCAATAGAAGATATTATTCCACCCTGGAATGGTTTTTCTGAACAACAGGAAAAGATAAAATTCTATATAGTTATTATGAGCAACAATAAACACCAACTGACACTTGTATTAGAAATAGAAACATAATGAGTACAGTCTCCAAACATGCTGTTTAACTAAAAATAACCCTGATAAACGCTACACAGTAGTTATTAGTCCTTTATTCAGTGCTTACGATAATAAAGCTTGTATTTTCTACACTAGTGACTACATTAATTTGCACTCAAGTGAATAATATGCTGGTGATTTACAGTATTATGAAGTGCATTTGGTCAAATGATAAACTGATTTTAATTGAAAAGTTCTGAAAGAATCTTTCCTTTACTTCATACAGTTGTTTCTCTAGATAAACTAGAAAAAAGCAATAACAAATTGAACAGTGAACGAAATATTACCGTATTGAGTCTTAAGAAAAAGACGTAAACAGCGAAGAAAATTTTCTTTTCGACGATTCATTTCCATCAGCTGTACAATCGTAATTATATTTAACAAAGAATTAATCAAAACCAATCAGATATTGGTAAAATTTGTCTTCGAAAAACATATTACGTCATCTAAGGTGTAACCTAGACGGGGTGACTAACTGGAAGTTAGAAAAGAGGCAGAAGTTTCTTTTTTTCTTGAAATTTTTTTTCTTGATTTACAGCTTGATTCCACACTGTATTTTTGGTACAAGTATGGAATTTTCAGCATGGATATCGGTAGCCCAAATTTTGCAGGCCGACCATAGATATCAGGTGTGCGCCGGCATGGGCTCGAACCCCGGACCATGTGCATGGTCGGTGAGAGTCCTAACCACTGTGCCACCGACGCACATGAAGGAATAAGTGTGAGATAATGAATAATTAGTATAATTGTGTAGAGTGGACAAGAACTAGTGGAAAGACGATAGTGATTTTATATAAAATCTGTATGAAAACTCAATGCTATTAATAAACAGTAGTAGAGGATGATAAGAATAATAATGATAATAGTAAGCTTACATAATAAAAGAAGCAAAATTATAGTAAGAACTTTACTCAGGCCACGGTAGGGTGAGTGAATGTATGTAGTGCTTTTAACCATCCAAGAGCAAGAAAAACTAAAATCTAAATTTCTTACTTCCAAGTTTTGGTCGCCTGATAGAATCTGAACCAGGTCGACAAACGTCAAATACTTGAATATACCGGTGAAATCCAGCATACAGACGTGAACCATTCGAGGAAAATGATATACTAGAGGCAGACACAACTTCACCCTAAGATCAGAAGAAAATGAACAGTGAAAACATTGTTTTATTTATTTATTTGAATAGTAAAAGACTTATTTCATTTCACAGCAGAAAGATTTGAAAAATAATTAAAGTATATAAATGCATTTATTGTAGCATTTTAATTTTGTGTCGTTTTCCTTATCAAAAAAACTTTGCCTTCAAGTGTTCATTCAGAACTTTTGTACACCAATATTTAGTCTAAAAACAAAAACCCAATTGGCGGAAGTTAGAACTGAAAGGCTATTGGATTCCGTCCCAGTAATTGAACAGTCTATCAGTTCGTCTTGTAACTTTAAGATCTTGGGTTCGATCCCTGGTGGGGTCAAGGGTGCGTAGTGCGGAATAGTTTCAAACCAGGAGGAGACAGCTGTCCATTACTCCGTGTCTTTTTATTCCATAGTTCTCTTACTGAAGTCAGTTCGTGATCAATCTTGAAAAAGTGAAATAGTTAAGTTTCGAAAAATTCTCTGTAGAACGATAGGAATCTTGGTGGGTATTCAGCAACCCATTACACGTGTGGTGCGAATCATATACCAAAATGCGTATTAGAAAACAAGAGTGTACCATAATTTTACTCTGCATTCAACACGAGGATATTCTCCTATTGATATCTTAAAAGCGCTCTATGTATTGCACAGCTAGAAGAACAAACAATGAGTTTTAGCCACTCAGTGTATTATAAACGTGAAGAAAATAAAACAATTTTGTGCATCACGAGTTATCAACTAACCATATTCCAGGTGTTACTATTTATTTATTTCAAACACAAACTCGCTAAGACATGGGCACCAAAAGATGTGCCCCACCACAGAACAATAATAAAACAGTAACATATAAAGAAAATAAGCAGATAATATATGAGGGATGTCATCCAGGTAGCATATTTGTCAAGATCATTCAACTTTCATTAATTCATGGTACTCCCAAAAAGAGAAGAAAGATTTGGTTATGAACCAACCGATTCTAACTTAACACATATATCCTTCATACCACGAAGTGACGTCATAGGCTAACTACGTCTCCATTCTTCCCATCAAGTCTCATGAGTAGCGAACAAAGACCGGTGCGGAAGCCTTTGACATTCATAGCACATGTCTGAGCCACCGAGGCCAGTGTTTTCAGATGACGACACTCAATGAATGGTGATCTCCACTAGGTCCAAACATACGCTCCTGGACCTCAGGATTACTCAAAAGGTGATACCATTGAACTCAGACAAGTCTGGGGAGACAGCGATAACCGAATACGAAGAGTCGTCTGACACCCTCAACTAGGAGAGGCCAGGTTTCACAGGTGTATAGCGAGAATGGGTGCACCGAAGTATTGTAAGCCCGACCTTTGACAGCACCAGAGGTGGCTCAAATTGGCGTATGCCACCTTAGCTTTCACTGTACAGTTAGAAATCTCGTCCGTCAGTATTCACACAACTACCTAGATACGCGAACTTCAAGCGCTAAATGTATGTACGAGCTCCTGCCAATCTTGTAACAGTACTTGCACTTAGAAGACGCAAAGTACATGCCATATTTACGGATACTGATCGCCAACTAATTAAGTGCGATTTGGACAGCCTGTAGGCTATCATGCAGTAAGGCGATGTAGTCTGCATACTTGAGGTCGAAGGGTCTTCCTCCAGGAGGCAGATCTACACCACCACCTACAGACACCTGACTGACTCTAGAACGTCGTCGATGGCAAAGTTAAGGAGAAGGGGAGAGGTCGGGCAACTCTTTCTAACTCCACTGGTTGTATGCCTTCACTCTATCTGAGGTATCTCTGTATTCAGGCGGTTCACCCGCAAGAGTGAGTGCAGGTACAGACTCCTTACAGACACTGATCGCCAATTGATTAAGTGCGATTTGGGCAGCCTGCATGCTATCGCACAGTAAGACGATATCGTCGGCATACTCAAGGTCGAAAAGCCCATCTCCAGATAACAGATCTCCACCACCTTCACGCACAACCTTTAGAGCTGACTCCAGAATGTCATCGATGCTAAATTTAAAGTGAAATAGAGAGATTGGGCAACCCTGTCTATCCCCACTGTTGGTTGGGAACAGTGATGATAGCTGGTTGTATGCCTTCACTCTATCTGAGGTATCTCTGTATACAGCTTTCAGGATGCCAACAAAATTCTCAGGGACACCTCTCTCTCTAATAAACAGTTCCAGAGCACAGTTCTGTCCAACAAATCGAAGGCAGCCCTAATATCAAGAAACACAACGATCGTTGGCCTGCAATACGTGTGGCGGTGTTCCAACAACCGACAAAGGGTGAACACATGATCAATGCATCCACGACCTGAACGAAACCCAGCCTTCCTTTTGCAAAACAGCAGCCAATATTGTTGACGCGACTGGTAACAGGCTAAGGTGGGTGCGATGATTGCTTCATTCCACATTGGTGGAACATTCCCACATTCCTATAGTTTCCTTAACAGTCTAGTCAATATCCTGACGAGAATCTCACCTTCATCTTTGAAAAGAGCTGGGGGTAGGTTGCCTGAGTAGGGTTGCCTTAAAGTATTTCTGAATTTGGAGTCCTCTCGAGGCCCCGCTTTGATCGGTACTAACCAACCATGAAACACTAGTTAGTGATGTTGGACGCTGGCACAGTTGGCCGACTAAACTACCTTCCCAAACTGCACTGCTGAGTGTTCCAGGCGTCTTTACAGGTTGGTAATTGGCCTGACATTTGCTTCACAGACTGTCTCGCTGGTACGATGGTTCACGCTGCAGGTGTCTCGGATTAGCAGGAACAGCTTCCGGCTATTGCCAGATGCAGTTGCCGCTCCCATCTCACACGCATGTTCTTACCATTGGGCTTCGCGGTCTTTACGTAAATACCGTTTAATCTTGCGTGCAAGCGCCCTGTCCATGTTGCTGTACTCGCTGTATGCCCGAATGGACTAGCGCTCATCCAGGAAATGCAAAGTAGTCGCAGAAACCTAGGAGTTTTTAGCGGAGCATTCTTATAAGCTACAAGGGGCTTCACTGACCATTCGCATAAGGCTTTATAGATGTAACCAATGTACATCTATGCTGCTTGGAGGATTGCTATCGAGCCTTGATTTCAACTCATTCTGGTACTTCATAGAGGTAGTCGGTGCTACCAGTTTACCTACATCAACCTGTAGGGGACGTCATTTATGAGTACCACAAAATCGCAAGATGAACCTGGCGCACACTTAGGGATGATCGGAATCCATATATGTGTACAAGAAGGAGTGGAAGTTGTGTATGCATCCACATCATGGGAAACTGACAGAAATACGATCAATATAAGTCCAAGATTGATTGACAGAGAGAGGACATCAGGTGGTGATGGCTGTGCTGAAAGTTGATGCTAGAAGTATGTTGTGATCTGCGCTAAGCTACAGAAGACGGTCCCCATTATCTGACCTGCGATCATCTAGACTCTGCTGACCACGTGGACGAATCTCATCATAGCTTAGACGTCTGACCTGTGCATCCAAGTCCCTAGATAGCACTACAATATCTCTCTAAGGCACTTGTTTCAGGAGATGCCTCAGCTGGTAGTAAAACTCACCCTTAATTGTGTCCAGGCTGCAACCCGTGGGTGCACCGGCAGAGACGATAAGTAAGCTACTGCCTATTTAGCTGAAGGCTTCTTACTCTCGCATAACCTTCCAGTCTCGCAGCACATAAACGACAGTTAATTGGGATTCAGTCGAGTAATACAGCTTCGGCTATAGTGCCTAGTGCGGCACTGACACCAGATACACCGGATACCGACGCCACAGGGTCCCTGGATAAGCGCAAGTAGTTCATAGCATTCGAAATTCTAGACGGAGAAGACATCCGAAGCACTTCACTGAGATCATGAACGCAGGGATCGACAGAGAGACTTTTTAGTGTTCTGTTCAGACCTATCTGTTGTCCCATTTGCATCAGTGTGTGGAAATTGTAGTTGACGAACCTGGACGTGACACTCGGTTCCAGGATATTCGTGTTGGACATCACACTGTGGGCCACAGTTTTGAAAACTACCCATTGACACCCCACAACGGTACTGATAGGCTGGGAATCCAAATAAAGGAGAGAGGCTGACGAAAGTGAAGACACCAAGGACATTCAAGCCGGTCAAAATAAAACACAAACGTCCATGTATAAAAATGAAGCAAACAGAGAACACTGCTAGATATATGGTTGGAGTTCGTAATAGTAACAGCGTACTTATGGTCACTCATGAATCGTTGTTTCACTGCTTATAAAAGGGCAGGAATACCACCCGGCAGCCCAGACCGAAGCAGGTGCTTGTCCTAAGGCACCACACTGACGAAGGGTGGACAAACATCCCCGAGCCTTTGAATTGAAGTCTAGTTTACAAGGCTGTGGAACTGCGTCCCCATGGTTTCCGGTAACAAAAAGAGGTTCACATGCCATTCGATCCGTTTGGATTCTGGAGCTCACGTACACCATAGGTTTGGGATCAGGGGTTCCTAGATCTTCTAGGTAGAAATTCATGTCCACCAGCGCTAGACGTTCACTTTTGCCCTTCCACCCCGTGTGGAGGCAGTGGATGATGTTTATCTGGTAGAGGCTATGAAGCGTGGTTAAATGAAACCATTTTGAGAGGAAGACTGGAGTCTATCCGCCCTGGACCGTACTACGTCTCTAGAGGCTATTTTTAATGAACAAATCAGCAGACAATGGAAAGTAAGAAGGAGATGTAATTACGAAAATATGAAATCATTCTCAAAAGTCAATGTCACACGGAATTCTAAGAAGTTACTATGAGAAGAACACAATAACCTATTGGAGAAAACTTGTTGTTAGTCTTTCCACTAAGGATGCTAGTACGGTTTTTATGAATCCCTAGGACTGCGTTGCTAAAATTTCCTTATTATCAAATGAAAACATTATGAAAACAAAACACTAACAGGGAAACAACTGCACAAACTTAACAAAATATGAAAGATTCTCGAAAAGACAAGTCGACATTCAATTGTAATACGTCTGCTTTCGTCATCCAATGAATTCAAGTACCACCAAACGTATATAAGAAAGACATCTGTCTTCATCCGAGATCGCCTTATCCTTTGTTCGCTAAATTACTGATTGACACTCCCCATCTAGTGAAAACTCACACTTTACTACACTTAATTCACATGACTTCATTGAGTGTCAGTCAACAAAATCAATTTATTTGGAAACAGATACTCTGTCAGGTTATTTTACTATTCCCAGATGTTCTTTTACGTGGAAACCATATGCTTAAAATGTAAATTAACCAACTAATAATTCAACAGACAGTATCCCAAACGATTATCACAGGAATCACACACAAGTGAAGTGCAACTACGTTACACTGATGAAATTCTACTGAAAAACAAATAAAGTAGTACTGGATCACTAATCAACATGTCTGAATGACACGATTACCGTTTGTTATAAAATAAAAAAGTAATTTCAATCCAACACAACGGATGTTTAATGAATATCATATCTTCATAAGAGAAACAGAAGGCGGTTTGAAATTTAATTTGCTGTACATTTCACTGAAGTAAAAAAATGTGATGCCTCTTTTCAAGATCAATTTACAAGAATAAAGCATAACTCCATAAATTGAATACAACTGATTTAAAGAACCCTAAAACATGATGCACTTTGTTAAAAAGCAGGTAATGACATCCTAAGATGAATAAACTTAATAATCTTCGTGAATCATTTTTTAAAATGACTACCATCTAAACATTTTTCAGAGAATGCATCTAAAACAATGCAAACAGTAAGAGGCTGTTTCTGAATACTGAACACAAGATGAACATTATGCGTCGGTGGCACAGTGGTTAGGACACTTACCGACCATTCACATGGTCCAAGGTTCGATCCCCGGTCCGACACACATTTGATATCAATGGTTGACCTGCTAAATTTCGGCTGCCAATATCACATGCTAGAAATTCCATAGTTGTACCAAAATAGACCACTCACTGACGATACATTTTTTTACCATTCAGTTAAATGAAAACTACTCAGAAGTGAGTAAAACTTTTTTTTAAATATTCATATTTTACTTACCAAGTGATTAACGGGAATATAGGTTGCACGAATCACACCAGTAAATGCATCCCATAATCGAATTGGATTTCGTCGACTAGTACTAGCCAAACTTTAATAGAATGCAAGGAAAGTTTAAATTTACATCCAATAAATAACATCTCAGTAAAGAAATAAGACAAGAAACAAACCAATACAGACTATCAAAACTATGGACAAATTAACTAATTTGCGGGTAGATTGACGGTTATCAACCAGATTTTGTAACCAACCAAAAGCATATTATGGAGGAATACTACAGGATGATTGGCGGGTAATTGTAAGTAATTCCTTCGATTTTGTATCACTGTTTCACAACAAATATGCGATGACAATACAGAGTAAGAAAGTATAGGTTAGCAGAAAAAATCCGTACAAAGCATTTCACTATAAACAAAACATGAAATAGAAAGAGGAATAAAAGACGGGTACAGTGAAGAAATCTTCTCTAACGATGGAGTCATCTTTAAAGGCTGTACAACAACATTAATCTTTAATGAAATGTATAACAGTCTATTATCCGATTATAATAGAGAGGAAGGAGATAATTGATACCGTTATCCACAAGTGGTTTCTAAAGACAGAAAAAAGTTGCTCAGTAACAAGACAATGGAGTTAAGGGTTTGAAATTTCACAAGGTGACAATTTTTATTGGATAAAAAGCAAGTTTATTAACATAGAATTTAACATTGCAAAACAAAATTGATTTAGAATGACAAGTAGTGGGGCGAGTGAAAGTGAGAACAGTAATAGTAGTGATTGACGTAATAGAGGAAGAGTATACAAATTGAATAAACAAGGCAAAAACTAAGTAGAGTAAAAGTATAAGTGGGGATTATCATGCTTTAGTATAGAGGGATTGATACCATGAAAGTTAGGGGGGGTGGGGTGTTGAACGAAGATTTTCTGCCTACAGACATCTGACTTCTCTTTTTCGATGGTCAAAACTTCAGCAATGCAGATGAATTGGATACGTAGTGATCTTGCGCAAATTACTATGATCTACATGATGGAAAGTAAAAAGGCGAAAAAACTTAGTATCAATCCCTCTATACTAAAGCATGATAATCCCCACTTATACTTTTTCTCTACTTAGTTTTTGCCTTGTTTATTCAATTTGTATACTCTTCCTCTATTACGTCAATCACTACTATTACTGTTCTCACTTTCACTCGCCCCACTACTTGTCATTCTAAATCAATTTTGTTTTGCAATGTTAAATTCTATGTTAATAAACTTGCTTTTTATCCAATAAAAATTGTCACCTTGTGAAATTTCAAACCCTTAACTCCATTGTCTTGTTACTGAGCAACTTTTTTCTGTCTTTAGAAACCACTTGTGGATAACGGTATCAATTATCTCCTTCTACTTCTGTCTTCTGCTGTACTTTTCACCTGCATCCTTGTTAGTCCATACTGTTTCAACTCCTCTTCACACGATCTCCTCCATGTCAACCTTGGACGTCCCACTCGCCTCTTCCCTTTCGGGTTCCACTCGAGGGCCTGACGCGTGATGTCACCAACCGGCCTCCTCAACGAGTGTCCAATCTATCTCCACTTTCTCCTGCATATTTGTTGGTTGGCGATCGGTTCTTGTTTTGTTTGTTCCCATAGTTTTTTTGTTCGCCAGGCCATCTGATTTTCAGTATAGAGCGAAGACAGTTGTTGGTTCATAAAGGTCTGCAACAGGCTGTTGGAAATATTCTTTGTGACCCACCCGCCAAGTTTCTGATCTGTAGAGAAGAAATGACTTGAAGTCTGTATTGAAAATATGACCGAATTCTGTTGTTGATGCTGAGTAACGAAGATTTCATTCCAGATTGGTTTCAGGTTGATGAATGTGTTTCTCGCCTTCCCGATTATCGCTCGATTTGACATCCTCGTCCGCTCCGACTTCCTGTAGTTGAGACAATGCTCCCCAAATAAGTGAATGAAGTAACCTCTTTCAAATCCCTTCCGTTGATGGTGATTGGCGCTGGATGTTGCTGCTGTTGTTGTTGTTGGTTGGTTGGTTGGTTATTTTCATCACCTCCGTCTTGTCTATGTTCACCTGGAGTCCTGTCTTCGCCGGCTGCTTCTTCGATCAGTTTGTCGGTTTTCGCTTGTAAGTCTTCAATTTTGTGTGACACCAAACATAAATCATCCGCGCGCGAAATTCAGGTCTTCTAGGTTCTTCACGTCGGTCCAGGATATCCCTGTCTTTTCGTTTTCAGCTGTCTGACGCATGATCCAGTCCACCACAATTAGGAATATCATTGGTGATAATAAGCACCCTTGGCTGACTCCTGTGTTTGCTCCAAACGCCTTGCTGAGTTTTCCGTTGTGGATCACTTGACATGTGCCATTGTCGTACAGCTGTTGAATAAGGTAGATGAATATTTGGGGGTACGCCGTAGTACTCGAGTAGTTTCCAAATTACTTCGCAGTCAACGCTGTCGAAGGCCTTCTCAAAGTCTATAAAGTTGGGGTAGAGGTTTGATTGCTATTCCATGCTTTGTTCGATGATGATGCGCAGAGTTGCAATTTGGTCAGAACATGACTTGCCTTTCTTGAATCCAGCTTGTTCTCGTCGGAATTCTGTATCGAGTGCGTCCCTTATTCTCTCCAGGATGATGCGACTAAGAATTTCACTTGGCGTCGACAGGAGCATGATTCCTCGCCAGTTCTTGCAGAGTCTTAAGTCGCCCTTCTTTGGTAGTTTCACGAGGTAACCTTTCCTCCAGTCAGTAGGCACCTTTCCCTCCTTCCAGACCTTTTGCAATAATGAATCGAGTCAGCATGTCTGCTGTCGTCTCTGGGTCCGCTTTCAGTGCTTCAGGGGGTATTCCATCTGGCCCAGCTGTTTTTCCAGCTTTCAGAAGTTTGATTGCGTTCAAGACCTCAGCTCTTGTTGGAGGATTGGTGTCAACTTGCAGTTGTGTGTGCGCTGTTGTTGGCATTTCTGGACGGGTTGCAGCTGGTGGTCGGTTCAAGAGTCCTCTGAAGTGATCCGCCCATTGTTTAATCTGTTTTTCTTCCTTGGTAATTGGGTTCCCTTGGCTGTCTTTTATAGGTTTCGCTTGTGTTGATCTCTTCCCGGATAGAGACTTGGTTATCTGATATAATGTCCTCAGGTCCCTTTTGCCAGCTGCCTTCTCAGCTTCAGTGGCCAGATTGTCATAGAATCGTCTTTTGTCCTTCCTAGCACTCTTCTTCACTTCTTTGTCCAGTGCTGTGTAAGTTGAGCTCAGCATCTCCTTCTCTTCTCCGTCTTTGCATTGAATCATTTTCTCCTTCACCATTCTCCTCTCCTCTATTAGCTTCCAAGTATCCGTTGAGAGCCATTCCTTGTCTTGTCTCTTCTTTCTTTCTAAAACCGTTGAACACGTTTCGTTGAAAATCACCTTCAGAGAGTTCCAATGGTCTTCCACACATGATTCTTCAGTGATGTCGCGTAGTGTTTCCTGCTTTGTTATGACAGTAAAACTGTCCTTTGTGGTTGTGTCCTTCAGCTTTTGAGTGTTGAACTTGCATTAAGGCCTATCCCCAGCTTTCCTCGAGGCTTTTACCTTCACCTACAAAGTCTCTTGTACAAGATAGTGGACTGAACCCACATCCGCTCCTCTCCTCGATCTTGTGTCCAGTCTGTCTGTCTGTTTTCGACATAGAACTTGGCACATATGTGCACCAGTTCAAGTCGCCACACTCCATGTAGCACACAAAACAAGAGAAGAAAGTAGAAGAAATGCACAAAAGAGATAGCAAACAGAGGTGTGAGACAAAGGAATAGTAGTAACGAAGAACAATATAGTTTCATTGGAAATCATAAGTCACAGGGAGTGGATGCATCTGCGCCATTGAGAACGATGAGTTTGAGCCATATCACCAATTGTTTCAAACCATTGAATTTTACCGTCCCGAGGACCCCAACCAGGAAGTCTACACCTTCCTACGTGACTGGCTTAAACTAACTGTTGTAGATTTCATTGACTGGTGCCATGTTTTGGTTTGACCGCCGCTAGCTCTTTTCCAGCCTGACCCTATGTCAGCTAACATTGCCCGTCGAGGGAGGCGATGGCTAGGCATACGTAACACATGTCCTAACCATCTCACTCGATGTAGCTTCACAGCCTCGTCGATTGATTTCCCCTCCTTACCTAGAACTCGACGCCTAACTTCAATATTGCTCACCCTATTATACCACTTCACACGGGAGATAGAGCGCAGGCACCTATGATCAAAGACAGCTAATCTTTTCATGTCTTCCACTCTCAGTGGCCAGGTCTCACAGCCATAAAGGAGGACGGAGCGGACTGATGAGCAGTACACCCGCCCTTTGGTCGATAGTCGGATATCACGTCTACACCAAAGACGGCGTAAACTGGCAAATGCGAAACGAGCCCCTTGTATCCGTGCTGAGATTTCATCAGAGATCAACCCGTTGAGGCTGATGGTACTTCCCAAATAAGTGAAGCGGACAACGTGCTCTACCACTTCACTCCCTATTTCTAATCTAGGAGTCGGTGTAGTCCAGTCCTGTAGCATCATCTTGCACTTGGCGGGAGCGAATCGCATGCCAAACATTCGTAGATTGCAGCTCAAGGTGTTCAGAAGACTCTGCATTTTGTCAGCGTCCTCGCCTAGAAGGACTATATCGTCTGTATATTCTAAGTCAACGAGATTATTTCCTGGTAGCAAGTCAATCTCTGAGTCGCTGAAGTGAGTTAGGGTTAAGTCCATTAGTACATCTATGATGAAATTGAATATAAAATGGGGACAGTGGGCATCCCTGACGGACACCACTAATTGTCACCACTTCAGATGACAACTCGCCGTAAGCCCTCACCTAGCTGCATGAATACGAGTAGAGTGCCTTGATCAGTGCAATGTATTTCTCGGGCATTCCATTCACGGCCAAGCATCGCCAGAGTACCTGTCGGTCGACAGAATCGAATGCCGCCTTCAGGTCAAGGAATATAGTGATTGTTGGGCGCCGATAGGAATGCCTATGTTCTAGAATCTGCCGGAGGGTGAAGATATGATCAATACACCCTCTTCCTGGTCTAAAGCCTGCCTGGCTCTCTCGTGTTTGTGC